CCCCAAAACCCCAAAACCCCAAAACCCCATGCACTTAAATTACATCTTTTTGAAATTTGGGAATCGGAAGTTAAACTGGAAATTTAAATTATTAGTTTATAGAATGACAATGATTTTAGCTTGTTACGGATGTTGTAATAATTTTCTTTAAATAATTTTCATTAAAAACTTAATGTCTAAGGTCAAGAATACAGTTTACAATTCCCTCAAGTCTATAGATTATTTTTCAAAGCCAATAAACTTTACATATAAAGGTAATGACACTTATAGAACGGCGTTTGGGGGTTTTCTATCCTTTATTATTGGAATATTTTTAGCTGTCCTGTTCATTTATAAAACAATTGCAATGTATTAGTGATCAGAAACATAAATCCGAAAAGACACAATTGTGGAGGTTTCGAATTCTTATTCTGATCCACATGTGATTGGAGAGATAGGTATTAGTATTGCTTTTATGCTCTCTGATATTAATGGATTACTTTTGCTGTATGAAGAAGAGATAGGAAAATTTAATCTTTGGTAAGGAAAGTTTGACTTAGTTGAAACCCCAGATGGAAAAATAACAAGGGAGTTTTCTAGACAATTAGTTCCCTACAATAAATGCTCAGTTAACAGTACTGCTCTGAGGAAACTAAGCTAATAAGATATTTTATCCTATCCGATAGATGATTACTATTGTCCTGATCTAACGAATCTAACACTCTAAGCAAATTTTCATGCACCTTAATTCTAGTTCCTATTTTTGGAATTTATGAAATGCAAAGATAAAAAGCTGTGTTAAAATTCCACTTTGCTTAAGAAAAGAATTGAGAGTTCAAACATTTAAATCATTGTTGTAAGCTCTTTTTTCGAAGTAGATAACTATGAGTAACCAGTCAAGTATTTTATGGACGATGCCTTCTATCCTATGATAGACAATATGAACCTCTAAGCAACAATGCTATTTAGATCAAGTAAGTTAGAACTTTCTGACGCATTAAATGGCTTCTTAGATGTACCTGTTGAAGATGTTTTCTATTAAATGTCTACTTTAACATCTATATAATAGCCGATAGAATTAACTGGTGGAGCGCTATTTACTTGCTAAATTTAGCTTGACAAATTTATTGATAGGTATAATAGGCAGGTTTATACATTTAATGATGTGCTCCAAGAGTTAGGAGGGTTTTAAGCTATACTATTTTTAGTGGCAGCTGTTTTGTTTATTCAGGTATCTAAGATTCGAAGTTTTAGCTGTCTATGGCCAGAAATTTATTCTTGATTCAAGACTATAAGAAGTTGATGAATTAGAATACTCTTATTGTGGATGACGATGATGAAGATGACTAAAATTTGTCTAAGCACCAGCAGAAAGCCAAAAAAGTTTAAAGAAGCATCTTGAGATTGAAAGAGAATGTTAAAGATATGCTATTGAAAAATAAGTATGACTAGAAAGAACTCATTTTCAAAAAGATGTTTGATTACATTAAAAACAGAAGAAATTCTAAAATTTGGAATTTAAGTACAAGGATTTATTCAGAGCTTTTATGATGGATTCATATGGATGGATGATTAACTGTTGTAAAAAGAATGATAGATCAAAACTTAAGATCAAGAGAAAGCATTTACTTGAAAAAGGAAAGGAGAAAGTTGTAGATGAACTAGATTGTGCTAATATCTTGAGGAAATTAAGAATGGTTGACAATATGGCATAACTTTTACTCTCTGTCCCCCAGTAGATATTACTTTACAATTAGAAAAAGGATGTTATTAATATGAACGAGTCCTCAGAAGATGAAGAACTTATGAATCTAAGAAATGTCAGGAAAATAACCAGAAACATTAAACTATTTGCTGCATTTGCCTATTACAAACTCAAAGATTCCCTTACCACAACTGACAAACGTATCATCATGGGTACTGTAAGCAACAATCCACATTTCCTAGATAAGGAAATCTTAGAATCAGAAATCAACAATAAAATGAAGTTAATGCACTAGTAAAGTATAAGAAATAAAAACATCCAAAAGTTAGAGGAACTCGATATCTATGATAATTTGTAAATGGAAGTGTAAGCATTCAGTAAAGGCAAGTTTCAAACATTCATGTCAGGCAAAAACAAGTCTAATAAATCTGTATCAAGTTATAAAACTCAAAGGAGAGGTACTGGTTAGAATAGCAAGAAATTAATGCCGAATTTTAGCTTTGTAAACGATTTAGAGAGGCAATAAAGTAATTTAAAGACAGATAGCTCAGTTGAGCTAGAACCACTTGAGTAAAAATAAAATAAAAAGCGATCATCTACGACTGTCCTGGGTCTTAAGAAAATATTCAAAGATGAGGAGTCAATTTAACTCTATAAGGAGGATATATCTGCCACAGAACTTGATGATTCAAGGTCAAAACTTTAGCCTATTCATCAGATCGATGTATCACCTCTCAAATTATCATATATTAAAAGATCTAATTCTAGCTCATAAAATATAAGTAACCCCTTAAAAGAAAAAGTTTAGTTAATTCTAACAATTATGAAGTTCATTGAAGAAAATATTAAATTATACTTTATTTCATAACTTTAAAATTCAACTAAATTTATTTGATGGGGTTTTGGGGTTTTGGGGTTTTGGGGTTTTGGGG